TTTTTTTTTTTTTTTTTTTTTTTTTTTGTAATAATAAAAAAATATATATAGGTATATATATTTACAAATAAAATATGTAAATTATCAATATGTATTTTAATGGTAATAAAAAAAAAATTGATAATAATGGCATAATTTTTACAACTATAGGAAAAATTAATATCGATGATCTTATAAAAATAAGTGAAAGAAATGAAAGTTATGTTGATTATTTAGGTTATCTTATAAAAAATAAATCTTTAAAAAGATTGAAATATATATTCAAGAGTCATTTAGTAAATAGTCAAATTGTTATAACTAATTTTGTCGATGATTCTAATGAAGTTTTGAACAGCAAATATATATATGAAAATATTACAAAAAAAAAAACTTCTTATTTATTAAAAAATGTATATTTATCAAGTTTTTTCAGCAATGATTACATAAATTATATTATTAAAAACTATAAACAAATTATGATATCTTTTAATTGTAAATATGATAACAAAATATATATAAATAATAATTTTGTTTATTTTTATATTAATGATTACACAAAAATGAGATTAATTACTCACAAAAATGTATATAAAGACAAAAACAAATTAAATCATGTTATTGTTATAGATATACATAATGAAACAAAAAAATTAGAAAATGATGATAATTTATATGAAAATAATGAATTTACATGTTATAATAAATCTATTAATGAAAATGATAGTAATGATAAGTATCGGTGTAATAACACAATGGAAAGAAATTATAACTTAAGTGTTATATTAAAAAAGAATTATGATCAATTTAATAAATATGAAAATACAAATAATAATAATAACAAGTTAAAAGAAACATATGAAAATTTTTTTACAGATTTTTATACATATCCAGTTGATTTACTTTGTATTTTTAATAATTGTGATGAAAATTTTACAGGAATATTAAGAAATGTTTTAGCAAATAATAAATCAAAAAATGTGCAAATATACTTAATTAATTTAAAATACCATGAATGTTATTATAAAATAAGTGGAAGTATTTGTTTGAAAGATTCATGCAAATTTACATATAATAATTTTAACATAAATAAAAACCATAATATTATGAATAACCAACTTGATGATATTGATAATCAGATAAATATGAATAAAGTTGTTGATATATATAAAAATATTTTTTCGAATGTTCAAAATGAGTTACACAATTTAGACGAAATACCTGTTGACAATGAGTTAAGACATCTATCTAATTTAAGTGTTAATTCTATAAATAATGAAAAAGATTTAATTTTCGATGGTTCAAATTATTCAAATAAAGGAAAAAAATTCCATGATTCATATATATATATGAGAAAGAAAGATGCAGAATATTTTTATGAACTTAATATGGATTATATAGAAAAAGAATTTTTAGAGACAAATGAGTATGTAGAAAACAAGAAAAATGAAAAAAGTACATTTAAAAATATATACACTCATGAAAATAATTATGATTTTGATATTTATGATTTAAAAATAAACAACAAAAATGGGAAAGAATACAATATAAATGATAAGAAATTTTACATTAATTATGATTCATCTAGTAGTGATGTAAGTTTGTCCTTTATAGAAAATATTAAAAATACTAAAATTTCAAAAATTAATAAGAAAGAAGATATTTTAAAACCTTCAACAACCAATGATTTCTTAAAAAAATATATGAAATCAAGTAATCTAGAACAAAATAAGAATGATGAATCCTTAAACTTAGCTACTAATGAAAAGAAAGAAGAAAATAAATTAGATGAAAACAAAAGAATATATGAAGAAACATTATTGAATAATATGGATTTAGAAAAAGATGAAAGTGAAGAACAATACAAACTTAAAAAAATTAAGAAAGTTCTCAATTTTTTACAAAAAAATAGGGAAGATTATTTTAAAATTAATAAAGACGTATTAAACGAAGAAAATCTTTATTGCATTATGGATAATTTTTCAGAAATAGGAAGAGAAAAAAAAAAAGAAGATATAAAGAAAAAAAAGTTTGATGAATTTGTAAATTACTTAATTGAATTTATAGGTAGAATTCATTTAGATATTAAAATAAACATTAAAAAGAATTCCAAATTTCTTGTCAAGAAGCTAAAAAATTATTATCAAATACAAAAAATAATTTTAAATAATGGTTTAATAAATAATTGTAATATATATAATATATTTAATTTTTTAATTGATAAATTAATTAAAAAAAATGTAGAAAATAAAAATAAGTTGCACTATGTTTTATCTATTTTTGGTCAGGATTACAATTTTATTAATTACGATAAATATTTTCAGGAAACAAGAAGTCAGAGCTCTATTCACATATTTTTTTTTTATTCTAATGATAAAATATATATAATGATTTTAGATACAGTAAATAGATTGTTATAAAATATTATATATATATATATTTTAATTATACCATTTATTTTATAATATTTTTGTTATTTAAATCCATGAATAAAATGTTATATATTTTTTTCATTTTTAAAATTATTTTAATTTTAATTTTATAAATGATGTTTGTTTTTTCATTATAAATGAAATTTATTTAAAATTTAAACAAATTTTCAATTTTTTAAAATATAAATAAATTGTTAAAATCCTTATTTCATTAAAACATGGGGAAAAAAAAAAAAAAAAAGGAAGGAAAAAGGTAGAATAAGTTTTTTATTTTTTTTTTTGAAAATATATTAAAAATTTATTTCACAAAATATTTAGACATATATGATGTTGGAAAATTCTCCTTTAGAATTATTTTCTTTTTTTACAATTATGAACATATAGATTAAAATGAAAAAAAAAAAATAAGAAAAAATATAAAAATAAATATAATAAAATTTATTATATTTTTTATATAATTTAAACTAAAAATAATTCTTATAAAAAATAATAAAAGATAGTGTGTAAAAAAAAAAAAAAAAAAAAAAAAAAAAATTAAAAAATA